CTACTATGAGCAAAATTATAGCTAATATGAGCAAAACTACAGCTAATATGAGGAAAACTGTAGCTAATATAAGCAAATCAGTAGATAATTCAGTAAAACTGTAGTTACTATGAGCAAACTTATAACTAATATGAGCAAACTTGTAGCTAATATGAGCAAAACTATAGCTAATATGAGGAAAAATTAGCTAATATGAGCAAATCAGTAGATAACTGAGTAAAACTGTAGCTACTATGAGCAAAATTATAGCTAATATGAACAAAACTGTAGCTGATAAGAGAAAATGGTAGCCAATGTGAGCTAAACTGTAACCAATGGGAGAAAAAACAGAAGCTAATAAAAACAAAACTGTAGCTAAAGTGAGAAAAAAATGTAGCTAATATGAGCAAAACTCTAGGAGCGCAAAACATTGAGTAATGAGAAAGCTGCAGCTATTTTGATAAAACTGTAACTATTATGAGAAAAACAAAAGCTAATAAAAACTAAACTGTAGCTCATGTGAGGGAAAAAACATTGCTAATATGATAAAATAGTAGCTATTATGAGAAAAACTGTCGCCAACATGAACAAAACCACAGCTTAAATGAGCAAAATGGTAGCTAATATGAGCAAAAGTCTAGGTAATATGTGCAAAACTGTAGCTACAATTAGCAAAATCTGATGTCAGCATTAGCACAACTTAATACAGAGGCTTCTGTTTGTCTCATACCTTTTTCTGCAGCACATTGACTTTGCGTTCCTTGACGTCCAGCATGTCTTTAAGATCAGTGATCTCTCCTTGCTGAGTGCTTTTCTCCTCCGTCAGCTCAGATATCTGCTGGCTCTTTTTCGACAGAAGAGACTCCTTCTCCTCCAGGCGAAGACGTAAGGCATCCACCTGAGCACACGGAGGCGTCGGCTCGTAAAAGCAAACCTTCAGAAATGAAAGGCGGAGTGAAAGCTGCGTGGCCCAGAGGTTTTACCTCGGTCTGCAGGATGGCAGCTCTCTGTTCCTTGGCAGTGAGTGACTCCTTGAGGACGTCGACGTGTTGTTTGCTGTCAGAAAACTGATTGTTCAGAGTGTCCAGTTTGGTTCTGAGAGCCAGCAGCTCGCTGTCTTTACGACTCAGCTCCTGCTTTGCCTGTTCCATCTGAGCAACACACAAAAAGGTATGTTAAAACAGGCACAGAGAAATGTGAAACACCCTCTAGTTTAACTGTAAAATCTACAACAAATTAGAATATAAATGCTGCTTTGGGCTGYATGTTAAATTTTCAACTATAATGAACTATAACTAATAACTTTTAATTAATATGAACGAAGCACTGGGCCTCATGCAAGAACCGTTCGTAAGCACAGATTTGTTCAAGTTGTGCGTACGAGTGATTTAGGAGAACTTTTGGCATTCACCAATTTTTTCGTATTCTAAGATTTTCTTCAGATACGAACAAAATTCACGAGTGGTCCAGACCTGTCGTATATTTTACGAGCAGTCAGTCTGCTGTTATCCAGACGGGTTTTCTTCACTAATAACTTTATATTTCGTTAGTTTGAAGATATTTTGAGTTGAAAATAAATTACACTCCATAATTATGTTGACAATAAGTTATTCTGCTTGAATTTATAATTTTAAATGTAATAATTTAGACTAACAATATAAATTGGTTAGATTAAATTAAATTGGCTATTAATGCTGTTGTATAACAATACAATATTAATATGAAGATCTCAAACTAAAAGCCAACTTAAATTATGCATTAATTGAAGTTTGGAGACATTTTAAAATACTTTTTTTCATAAACGTATCTGACACCACTTGGGATGGCGAGGTGGGAAAGATGGCCGGGGGGGCTGCGGTGCGAGACTGCTCTTCTTCTGAATAAATGAAAACTATGTAACACGAGTGTTTACACTTAAATTAAAAATATTTGACCAAAGGAAAATCGGAGCAGGACTAGAGAGATGAATATGATTTAGATTTTTTTTTTCTGCGACTGTATGACCCACAGGAGACACGGCATTAACAGCAGTCGTCATTTCATTCCTTTAATTCCACAGCTGACGCTGCTAAAAATGACAGATTTTCTTTTCTGGATCTCTGCGAGCAGGACTTCAATCTCTGAACTCATAAAGTTCTTCTTTTTACTTTGCGATGTCATTTATGAATGGACACTTCCTGGTATGTGGCAGGAAACGTAGCCTTATTTGGTGTTTTTGGGAGGGTAGATTATGCTAATCTCCTCTCCCCGTGCATGTGCACCTGATACGCATTCAYCAGTTTACGCTCCTCRTTTACACACTTTTCCTGAAGATAGAAGAGTTTGTTGAATCTGATGTGGCATGTTTGTACGAACCCTTCATGTGAACAAAAGTAAGAGAAACTTAGGATAAGAATACAAACATGTTCTTGCATGAGGCCCATTGACTTTCTTTTAAAGTTTATCACCTGAAAGRCAAAGAAACGCAAGAAAAATATGGAATTTTGCCAGTTTTATTTACATAAAACATCACTAAAGGTTCAAGGGTCTATTCTTTTATTGACTGCAATTAAATAAATGTTAGGTAAAGACACCTATCAAACRAGCACCATCTTCTTTAGAAGGATGCAACTCGTCTGAATTAGGGGAACCTGAAAAGAATAGACCCAAACCAAACCAGTGGAACATCTGGAGCAAAACCCAACAGCAAACTGGTCTATGCCACTAATTCAAACTCGTGCAGGAAGAAGAAAAAAAAGCAGGTTAGAAACATCTGGATCCTGTTTAAATTCTGAACCACTCAGGTCGCAGAAGCAACTTCAAATCCACTGCGTGATGTTTATATATGATTGTTGTTTGTTTAGGCTGAAGATGTGTGAATAAACTAAAACATAAGTAAGCTAACAGTGCCGGTGTATTTTACAGAGACAATAAATAGCTCTAAGACTATAAAAAACAAACATTTAATTTCTTAGTTTGTGCAAAAGTTACTGCATCGACAGGAAGTGAATCAGTTTTAACCACTTGCAGCTGCTGTTGTGTGAACTGTGGACATCTGGGTGTTAAAGCGGCTTCAGTCCGTTAAAGAGAGAAGGACAGAAAGACAGGAGAGGACACGGAGGTGCGGCTCTTACTGCAGACACCTCCTTCTGCAGCTCATTGGCTCGTTGCCTTAGCTCCTCCTTCTCTGATTGGCTGAGAGTTAGCTCTTCTTTCAGCTGCTCAACCTGGTAGGAGAGGAGGCCGTCAGGGTGTTTAGCATTGGGCTGGCATACAGGCCTCGATTTAGGTTTGTTGTTGAAGTGAAAAAATACACGTGTTGAAAATAAAAAAGAATCGCGTCCAAATAAGCAAGTCGTGTTTTAAAGCTTTACTTTGCAACCGGATCCCTCGGTTTGTGGTGCTGACTAGAGTTTTTTTTTTATTTTTATGAAGCCAACTTAAATGTGTGTGTTGTGAATCACCTTGTTCTTCATGAACTTGGAGTGGGATCTGTAGACCTCCATCTGTTTGATCTCCTCCTCCCGCTCCTCGCTGCTCAGAGCGCCGTTAGATTTGAGCATCATCACCTCCTCCTCCAGCTCCCTCATGCCCCGCTCCATCGAGCTGATCTTTGCATCCTGGGCAGGAGGAAGGTAGAAACAGGAGCGATCAAAGCTTYTTGTTTCCTTCTTAGACACGTTAGATTAAAACTTTGATAAAGTTAAATAAAAGAAAGGTTAAAAACACGTTTACCTTCATTTCGATGACGGTCTGCAGAGCCTTGGTCTTCGTCGACTCCGGAGCTGCTTCGTACCTCCTGTGCAGCTCCTGGGAGACAAACACACCACGGTGGTCAGCAGGGGACAGAGAGGAGGACATGGCAGGGGGTCGGGAGGGATGGAGCAGAGGAGGAGAGGGTCGCGGGGCGGGAGAGGAGGAGAGAGGGGAGTGGCGGGAGGGTTGGATGGCCGGCGTGGGCCTCGGAGCGGGAGCGGGGAAGGACGAGGAGTGATGAAGAGGAGGATCGACCGAGGAGGTTAAAACGTAAGAGGGGAAGGGAGGGGGGCAGGACGAGAGGGGGACGACGGGATAGAGGGAGTGGCGTCTGGGAGGAGGTGAAGGAGCAGGAAAAGAGGGAGAGGAGGGCAGCGAGGGATGGCGTGGTGATGAAAACGAAGGAGAGGGCTGGAAAGGAGGAGATACGTGGAAAGACGGCGGGATGGGGGTGGGGGTGGAAACATGTTTCCCTCTCGTAGAAGAACTCGTTTTTAGCCTCCTTGGGTCAAGCCGGCCGTCCCACATCGTCCAAACAGCAACGAAGGAGTCAAATAATCAATCTGACAGCTGGAAATGATGCTTAGCTCACAAACTTTAAAGTCTACGAGTTCAATAACACAAAAAAGTCCAAAAATCTCCTATTTCTAATCGAAAAATCTTAAAACAATCAAGCAAAAAGTAGCCAGTTTTAGCCTCCAGATGAAACAAATAGCAGCTTCTCATAAAAAGCACTAATTTTTATCCCAAAAATGATTAAAAACACTAAAAAAAAAACTCTAATTAACCGAGCTGTGCACGATAAAACTGTCTGATAGCTTGCTACATCACATCCCCCGAGTCAAATGAAGGAGCAAACAGGAAGAGCACATAAAAAAGGAAAAGCATGAAGTGGAGGGGTGTAAGGAACGGAGAGAATGAAAAGAGGACAGAGCAGCGTATGCATCACTGCTTTTCTTTGGACACTTAAAGACAGACAAAGACGGCTAATGTAAAAAGTCAGGAGGCATAAAAAACCCACATAGAGAAAGGAAAGTAGGGTGCTGCTGGAGGAGCAGGCAGAAATAATCACACAGCTGGAATATTTCACCAAAAGACTTTACATTTTTCATGCCATGGATACAATTATCATTTCGGTTTTCAGTTATAGCTAACATTTACATTTGTTTAAGAATTCATATTATATCTCCACCTGTACACTGGTTCTGAATTATCAAGGATGTTGGAAAAAAAAAACCTAAATTTAACATTATTAATAATCAATTTGCAAATATTAAATGGAGATTTTGCCATCTACAAGCAGTTATTTGGTGGAATTGACTATTTGCAACTTTATATGAAAAGTTTACCTTTAAATTCAGTATTATAAGAAGTTTTCTAAGAACAGTGTTTATGTAGCTTGGTTAAGAAGGCAAGGGCCAGGCTGGTGTTATGTGAGTATGGAGAAGAGCTGTTCGATTTGGGCATTGAATTAATTTGACCACTAGGGGGAGGTATTGTATTTTAAAAAAACAACAGCTTTAAACCCACTAAGGCCTTGTGGGTCATTTTGACCTAAGGCCAGCAGGATGGTTTATAACAAGATCTACACATCAGAAAAGAAAAAATGTGAGACAAAAAAAGGAAACAAAAAGGAAACAAACTGCATTCCTGTTCTGCTTCTCTGGTTTYTGTGTTAAAATTACAGGAGTTTGTGCCAGAAGCAGAAAGGGATTTCACACCTGGCTTCACAGACACACCTGCACCTCAGCACGAGGACTGCGCTYGTTTCCTCTCGGACGGTCACACGTACCTCTCGAAGCTGAAGCATCTCTTTATCTTTCTGCTCCAGCAGGCCCTCCAGCTGGTGGATGGTCATCTCCGCGTCGGCCAGTCGCCTCGTTCGCTCGTGGTCCTCCTCCGCTGCCCGTGACGACAGGCCTTTGCTCTGCAGCATCTCCAGCAGCTTCTTTATTGACTCGTCCCTGGGGTGAGGACAGAACGGGGGGGTCATCCAGAGGTCGGGTGGGTTTTTTAACCCCCTCCTGCTGCTGCTTGTCTTTACCTGGCAGTTAACGTGTGTTTCTGCGTGTCTATCCTCAGCTCCATCTCTTCCACAGTCTTCCTCAGGAGGAAGAGCTCCTTGGCTTGCCGCTCGAACTCGCTGTGGAGGCGCAGGAAGTTCTCCTCTGTCATCTCCTGGGGAGGAAGGGGCTGGACTCCGAGGCGACCGGACTCGGAGTARTCGGACTGGAAGAGCTGGTTGAGATCGCGCTGGATTCTGAGCTCGTCCTGCAGAGCCTGGATGGTGCACTGAAGGTGCTGCAAGACGGAGAAGCAGTTAATGATTGGAAACGTGTGGATGTTCAGATGTTACTGAACAAAATAACAGGGTCATAAACTGTGCAACAAAACAAAATGACTTTTTAGAGTCCAAATAAACGGAAAGGCTGCATTAACCCCATATTTGTATCAGTGCCAAATATCTTGATTTTCCATCTTTTTAGCTGGACTCTGGCCTGATCCTAGAACATTCAGCAGGGATTATATCTCCCCGGTGACCTGTCAGCCTTTAGGGCTCACAAGGTTGAGCTGAGCTAAGCTGCAGAGAGAAAGAAAAAGCAGCTTGTTGTGATCATCTTATTGTCTGCTGTGTGTCAACACAACTCAGAGCTAAACCTAAACAAAAAAAATATCTGTTTATTCAAACCAGTTTGGATTTGAAAAACCTGGCTTAATTTGTTTTTGTATCAAGTTACGGCTAAGTTTTACACGAACAAGCTGCCTGGGTCTAATAACAGCCATAAAACTCTAATTACCAAGTAAAATCACAAATTACCGTGTCGAAAAGTGAACAACTGTATTTAGTTTGTAGGTTATTCAGTCTCAGGAGCCATGTTTCCAGAAAAGTGTGATGCAAATAATGAGCAAACTTTTAAAAAGTTGCAAAAAAGAAACGTGCATCAGGCAAGTTTCCATTTACTGGTTTGGAGTGAATCAACCAGGAAACTCAAAGAGTAATTTTGTCTGACGTTGACGTTACGCTTGGCTGTATCTCCTTTGTGCATCAACTCTTTTTCAGAAAATCTAAAAACCACCTCAAGCTACAAACRTTTTTTGCGAAACTTACATTTTTTTGTTTATTTTTTCAAATTTTGTCGCTTACTTCTATCTTTTTTAATGCAAYGTTTAAAAATGCACATAAAAAATGATAAAAACATGGCTACACACTTTGAATCAAACCAAAAAGAAGCACAGTTATTGTCAAATTTATTCATTTTTAAACTCATTTTGCAACTCATTGAAAAAAATAAATGGAACCAAACAGATGTTTTTAACCAAATTATGCTCCATTTACTTAAAGTAAATGTAATTAAATACATTACCTTTACTCAGTTCATTTGAGTGGAACCAGTTGACATACAGCGTGTAAAATAAGTATTGAGCACGTCAACATTTTTCTCAGTAAATATATTACTAGAGGTGCTAATGACATGAAATTTTCACCAGATGTCGGTAACAACCCAAGTGATCCATACATACAAAGAAATCAAACCATAAATGTCCAGAAATGAAGTTATTTGTAATAATGTGGAATGGCACAGGGAAAAAGTATTGAACACAATTACTGAAATTTATCTAATACTTTGTACAAAAGCCTTTGTTGTCAATGACAGCTTCAAGACGCCTCCTGTATGGAGAAACTAGTGGCATGCATTGCTCAGGTGTGATTTTGGCCCATTCTTCCACACAAACAGTCTTCAAATCTTGAAGGTTTCGTGGACCTCTTCTATGAACTCTGATCTTTAGTTCTTTCCATAGATTTTCTGTTGGATTCAGGTCAGGTGATTGGCTGGGCCATTCCAGCAGCTTTAGTTTCTTTCTCTGAAACCAACTGAGAGTTTCCTTGGCTTTGTGTTTGGGCTCATTGTCTTGCTGAAATGTCCAGCCACGTTTCATCTTCATCATCCTGGTAGATGGAAGCAGATTTTTATCAAGAATGTCTCTGTACATTTTTCCACTCATCCTTCCTTCAATTATTTGAAGTTTGCCAGTACCATATGCTGAAAAACAGCCCCACACCATGATGTTCCCACCTCCAAACTTCACTGTTGGTATGGTGTTTTTGGGCTGATGTGCAGTGCCATTTGACCTCCAAACATGATGTGTATTCTGGCATCCAAACAGTTCAATGTTGGTCTCATCTGACCAGACTATATTCTCCCAGTATTACACAGGCTTGTTTAAATGTTGTGCAGCAAACTTTAAAGGAGCTTCAACATGCTGTTTCTTCAGCAGTGGAGTCTTGCGTGGTGAGCGTGCATACAGGCCATGGTGGTTCAGTGCATTACTTATTGTTTTCTTTGAAACAATCGTACCTGCTAATTCCAGGTCTTTCTGAAGCTCTCCACAAGTGGTCCTTGGCTCTTGGACAACTCTTCTGATAATTCTTTTCACTCCTCTGTCAGAAATCTTGTGAGGAGCACCTGGTCGTGGTCGATTTATGGTGAAATAATGTTCTTTCCACTTCTGAATTATGGCCCCAACAGTGCTCACTGGAACCTTCAGAAGTTTAGACATTCTTCTCTAACCGATGCCATCATTATGCTTTGCAACAATAAGGTTGTGAAGGTCTTGAGAGAGCTCTTTACTTTTACCCATCATCAGATGGTTCTTGTGTGATACCTGGCCATCATTTGGGACTGAACCAGCTGATATTAACTTGCACTGACAAGGGGCAGGCTTGCTTTCTAATTACTGAGAGAGTTCAGCTGGTGTCTTGGCTTTCCATGCCTTTTTACACCTCCCTTTCTTCATGTGTTCAATACTTTTTCCCTGTGCCATTCCACATTATTACAAATAACTTCATTTCTGGACATTTATGGTTTGATTTCTTTGTATGTATGGATCACTTGGGTTGTTACCAACATCTGGTGAAAATTTCATGTCATTAGCACCTCTAGTAATATATTTACTGAGAAAAATGGTGACGTGTTCAATACTTATTTTACCCGCTGCAATTCTTTTAGTTAAATCAAATGAATTATGTGTTTTTTGAGTGTAGAAATTTTCTGCTGCTTCTAACTTCCTCTCAGAGATATTTCTACGTATCTCACAGCCCAGTTGTTGTCTCTCATTTATTGGCTAGTTTTGTTTTTCAGAAACATTCTTATTGCTTTTTGATTAAAAACTCTGCAGCGCAGAGGTCTTATCAGATAAAGCGCGATCTATACAAGAAAACTTTGTGACCACATGGTGTGAACAAAACAACAAATCCCACTYGGACCAATTCGTACTTTAAACCAAACGGATCCAGACTGAGACTCCCTGAGACAAACACATCATCCCTGTAGACGTGTCACAGATGTGTGCTGACAGGTAAGTATTGCAACCGTCAAGACCCAAAGAAGATGCGACACGACTAGTTCTGAGTCAAATACGGAGCAGCTTGTGAGCACGGCGGAACGGTGATGCCCTCTGACTCTTAAAATGCGTCACATGTAACCTGACCAGGAGCCAGGTCGTAGCCTCGTGATGGAGCGTTTCAACAGATAAAAATAAAACAGGTTGCAAAAGAGATAAGAGAAGAGCATGAATGAGAGCAGAGGYAAACACCGGATAAAGAAGAGAGAGAAATCAATAGGAAATGGTGGCAAGAGCTTATAAAAAGAAAAGGGCCGATGCCACTGCTTCCCTCTAGCTACTGAAGAGGAGGAGATTAAAGTGAAGAGATGGATGAGTGCAGAGGCAAAGAAAAGCAATTCCTAGATAGAAGGAAACACAAGAAAAAAGATAGAGATCACTAATGTACCATATGTCTAAAAAAACAGAAATTAGTTTTAAAACCATCCTTTCAGTTTCCTCTCATCCAGTTTGTTTACTCCCAAACTGACACGAAGGAAAGATTAATAACCGTTTCTTCTTCTGCCTTTGTTCTATCACAGAGAGTGAATTCGGTTGAGTTTGCTGACTCATACAACGGCTCACCCTCACACACTCGCATAGCTTGATAGCTGACATTTCTAGGCCTTGCCTCGACGAAGAGACAGAGAAACGGATAAAAAAATTCTCCTTTCTTTCGCTCGGATCTTCTTTTTCTAGTTTAACCCTCCGCCTCTAAACGCAAAGACTGACCCACCCACACAATGAAAACACACATTTAAAACTACTCAGAGAGGATGATTAGTTAGTTTGAATTCTTAAAGTAAGAATTTACTTATATTAACATTTAGGAAAGTTTTTCCATTTATTTTCTTAGATTTTATGCAATCAACATGTAAAAAACACAATAGGAGACTAATTGTAAAAGATGCATCATAAAAATAAAAGAACATAATTATGTTATGTAAAAAGAAAATGCATTTTCTGTCAAAAAATAATGTAAATATGAAATATGTAATGAAGCTGATGGATTTTATTGAGCTGAGCTGTAAGCTAAAAGCAACAAAATGCTACCAAAAAAGCTAAATGCTTACTAAAAGTTGCAAACAATAGCAGAAGACGTATGCTGAAGAGATTGTCTTTGTCATTTAATACGAAAAAAAAGAAACAAATAATACATTTTTGAACATTTCCCTCATGAATGCCGTCCGCCAACTAATCAAAACTGTTCAGTTGATCTTCAGTGTCAATATAAAGACACATTTTCTCTTTTCATGCTTCTTTTTATATTTAGCCTCGTGTCGTGTCACATTTGTCTGCCCTTGTCTTCATTTCACAATATAATAATGTATGTTGTATGGATTTTCTGCCACGCAGCACCTGCACTTATTACAGTTCTTTGTTTTGTTTAATCTGCTCGCTCCATAACTTTGACCATTTCCTCTGACACTTAATAAAAAATTGCTATTTCAAGCCACAGTTTGCAATATATGAAATGATACATTATTACAACCAAAGTAGGGTTTTCTTTAATATAAAAAAACACTTGAACACAAATGAGCTCATAAATGATAAAAATCATGTGCTTTTAATGTTCTTTTCAACATTAAAGTAATGAAATTCAAATAAAAATATGTAACTTTTGCACACAGCAGCTAAAGGTATGGTAAAGAAATGAATGGTCCCACACAAACACACAGTGGGCTTCTGCAAGAAGTGAAAACACTATGAGCAGCATTACACTCAGCTTCAGAGGCTACACAGGAAGAATTCAAAATGAGCACACACACGTTTACGCAACAGGAATGTGGAGCTGAGAAATGCCAGACCACGAGAGAGGAGGTGAAGGAAGGGGAATCTCACGAGAAGCAAATGGAAAATAAGACAGAGTGGGCGATAAGCACGATGAAGTGAGAAAAAGAGATAAAAAGGGTTTGTTT